AGACTAAAGAGTAATAGAGCAAAACAATCAGCAACATTTCCTGGTGACTCCATCCCCTTCTACCCCACACTCTCTTTAGGTCTGCAAATTCCACCTAAGCTTTTCCTGCCTATCTATTGGCCAGTCAACTCTTTACTAACCAATGAGAGTAATCCGTATTCACAGTGCACCACTGCAGGTATGTAGGTACACATGTGAGCGCTGGTGCCCAAGAAGGCCAGAAAAGGATCCCCGGTAGCTCGAGTTACAGACTGTTGTAAGGAGCCTTGTGAGGGTGTTTGGGAAACCTTCGATCTTCTGGAGGAGATGTATGTGATCTTAACTGTTGAGGGAGCTTTTGAGTTCTCTACTTTTTATTATTTGTTTGTTTGTTTATTTATTTATTTTTGATTTTTTTCGAGACAAGGTTTCTCTGTAGCTTTGGAGCCTGTCCTGGAACTAGCTCTTGTAGACCAGGCTGTTCTTGAACTCACAGAGATCCGCTTGCCTCTGCCTCCTGAGTGCTGGGATTAAAGGCATGCGCCACCATCGCCCGGCTTATTTTTATTTTTTTAAAAAAAGTTTTTTTTTTTAACCTATTAAGCCATCTTGCAGGCTCCTTATTTTTATACTTCATTTGTGTGTATGCGTGTGTGAGCGGGAGATAGAAACAGAGAGACAGATGGAGTATCATGTGTGGATCAGAGGACAACTTCTTTTTTTTTTTTTTTTGGTTTTTCGAGACAGGGTTTCTCTGTGGTTTTGGAAGAGGACAACTTCTTACTCCCTCCTTCTACTGTATGGGTCACATGGTTCAAAGCCATGTTGTCAGGCTTGATGCAAGTGGCTTTATCCACAGAACCATCTTATCTCCCCAGTCCTCTTCAGGTTCTTAAAGTTAACTTATAAAGGGTGTGTCTCTGATGTTCTCCTGCAGTCCTGGGAGGTGGAGGATCAGGAGTCCAAGGAGATGAAGGCTAGCCTAGGCTTCATGGGTCCCTATCTTTTAAAAAAGATATTTTTTAGCCAGGCGGTGGTGGCGCACGCCTTTAATCCCAGCACTCAGGAGGCAGAGGCAGGCGGTTCTCTGTGAGTTCGAGACCAGCCTGGTCTACAAGAGGTAGTTCCAGGACAGGCTCCAAAACCACAGAGAAACCCTGCCTCGAAAAAACCGAAAAAAAAAAAAAAGATTTTTTTTTATGTGAATTGGTGTTTTTGCCTATAGGTAGGAGGTTGGTGTGGTGTGACCACGCTTGATCCCCTGAAACTGGAGTTAACAGACTGTATGAGTTGCCATGTGGGTGCTGCGAATCGAACCTGGGTCCTCTGGAAAAGCAGCCAGTGCTCTTAACCTCTGAGCCATCTCTCCAGCCCATGTGTGGCCCTATCTTAAAACCAAAAACTTCTACTCTGTTCAGAGTAGCTTGAGGACCTCTCCAGGGCTTGTAACCATCCTGGATGTGATTCATCCTTACTCCAGGGCTTCCAGCCTGGGACTGACACCTGCCCTCTGGCTATACAGTAATTGTTTCCTTTATCAGATCTAGGCTTGAAGTCTAGCATTTTTTTTTCAGTGGTTGCATTCAAGGAATGCTTATTTTCCTAGAAAATGATCTCAAATTCAAGTGTACATATACTGTATCTTCTTGTTCTTTCGGCCAAGATGAAGGGCAGTAAGAGTATTGATTCTGGCTTTTTTTGCATATGCATGTGTGTGTTGTAGGTATATGTGTGTGTGTGTTTCACATGTGTGTGTATGCATCTGCACAAGGAGGCCAGAGGTAAAACCAAGAGTCTTAGCATGCTCACCACCCTATTTACTGAGACAGGCTCTCCCAATTTACCCAGAGCTTGCCAATGTGGCAAAGTCAGCCAGCTTGCTCAGGGACTCCTGCTACAGAGATCCACCTGCCTCGGTCTGACTCCTGAGTGTTGGGATTAAAGGTGTGAGCCACCACCCAGTTTAAAGCCTTTTCTTTAAGTGAAAAATTTCGAGTTAATTAGAAAGGCATGAGGGGTACACAGATGTAATCTTATTTACTCTGGAGATTTAGGCAAGGAGGCTGGAACGTTTAAAGTCTTCCTGAGTTACAGAATTGAGTTTGAGAACAGCCTGGGCAATTCAGCCTTAAAAGAACATTTAAATAAAGGGCTGAGGAGAGGCGGTGGGTTGCTTTGCCGAGAGAGAATGCTGGAGGCCCTGGGTTCAATCTCTATCTCTAAAGCTAGGAAAGAAAGAAAGAAGATTCTAAGATCTACAATAAGGAGTCATTTCTCTATTAACCGTGAAGGAAAATGATGTCTTCGGTATGCAAAGATTATAGTCAAGATATTTGTATAATCCTGGCGGTGGTAGTGCACGCCTTTGACCCCAGTACTCAGAAAGCAGAGGCAGGTGGATCTCTGCGAGTTGGAGGCCAGCCTGGTCTACAGAGTGAGTTCTAGGACAGCCAGGGTTATACAGAGAAACCCTGTCTTGAAAACAAAACAAAACAAACAAATAAAATAGTATTTGTATAGTGAAGGTGAAAAGGGTTTCAACTTTGGGGGTTGAAGACGTAAATGGAAACCTTGTTTAGACTGTAGGCAATTGTGACTTGTCATCTATGGCGACTTCTGACCTGGCACTGGGGTGCACACCTGTAAACCAACGAAGAAGGGTTGAAAGTTCAAGATCAGCATGAGGCTACAGAGTGAGACCCATTTCAAAGCCAAAACAAAACAGTGACATCCATCAAGTCCTCTCCTGAAAGGACTGAGCATGGGCAAGAGAGGAAAACCATTTACAGTGCTAAGAGATGGTTACACAGGAACCAGTTTGGACTGGAAAATACAAGCTGCTGGAGAGGCACAGCCTGCCCATGAAGGAGCCTGAGTACATTTCCAGCCGTGGAGAAGCCTGGCTGAAGACCAAGGACGCCATGCAAAGCCAGTCTTTCCCTGTCACGAAGGTGGGCAGAAGGGTGTGAGCTGCTTTAGTATCTTGAGTGATGTTCATATAGATGTGATGACAGTATATTGTTACAAATGGTCTATCATTATTAGTACTATTATTTTTAATACAAGTCTCATGTATCCCTGACTGGTTTCTAACTCTGTATAGCAGAGGATGATGTTGAACTTCCCGTACCCTGCCTCCATCTACCAAGGGCTGGGATTGCAGGTATGTCCCACCATGTCTGGTTCATGAAGTGCTGAGCATAGGGGTTTGTGCGTGCTAGGTAAGCAATCTACCACTAAGCTACATCCTGGCCCTACATCTTCAATTTTAGTATCGCTTACTTTTAATCTTATGTGCCTATTTAAACAAACAGCTTTGTAATGTTTCCTGTCTTTGTGTTTTGAGACAGAATCTTAAAACATGCAGCCCTGGCAGATCTCAATTCCCCACTTGGACCAGTCTGACCTCTAACTTTTGTCCATCCTCCTGCCTCGACTTCCTGAGTGCTGGAGTTTCAAGTGTGCATCATCACACTCTGCAGAACTTTTGTCCTAAGCATGTATAGGGAAAAAAAAAAATCTGTTTTAATTTCAGGCATGGATCTCAGAACACAGCCCCTGCTGCAAAGGAGCAGGACTCCTGTTTCGGGAGTTTGGGATTTGCTTAAATATTCCAAAGATCAGTGAAATCCAAGTGCAAAGAGAAAGTTGTTCTTTTGACAACTTAATGAATAGCTCTGGACAGACTCGACAAAGTTGAGTCAGGCACAATCGGATTAGGCAAGGAAACGAAGGGTGTAAATATTGTTAGGGGGAAATCGTAAAAAACGTAGGCGGCTTCTGTAATCAGATTGCTTCCCAGGGATCCTTAAAGACTCCGTGGAGTGCAAGGAAATCCAACATGGAGATTCTAGATGAGGCTTTGTGGGTGCGGTTTCATGCAAGAAAGTCCACCAGGGAACGCCAATCCTTGAACCCGAATTCAAAGGCAGGGTTTTGGAACTACATCAAAAGACTGGCTTGCACGGAAAGTTTTCCAGCAAGCGACAAAGAGGCTGGAAGGCTGGAAAAAGCCTTGTGGCCGCCACCTACCGAGAAGCAGCGGGTGGGGGAGGGCGCCCGAATATTCGACTGGCGAAGGGGGTGGGCAGGAAAAAACAAAAGAAAAAAACAAACAGACGAACAAATACCACAAACTGACTAAATTTAGTGCTCTGTATTAACATCCACGTTCTTCAGACACAGACTTTTTAAACTTTTGAGTTTAACTTCGATGAACAGTTAGTTGTTACTCTCGAAAGTCATTGATCTTATTAAATAGTTGAGAAGTAAAACTAAATATAATGGACGGAGGAGGGGCTTTAAGTTAAACCTCTTTGTAGTTGTGGGAACAATCGGAATCTTTCCAGTCTTCTTTCTAACCGTAGAGGTGTGCAAGTATTCCAGAGAGGAGAAATGGAAATCACGAGTTCCCCACCCCCTCCCATCCGTTGCCTGTCCCAAGTTAGGGCAAGTCCGTTCTGGTTGCTTCTAAGGCCAGCTCTGAAAACATTGAGTTCTTTGTGTACCGGAGCTGGGGGACTTCCCTCTGCAAAATAGGCGACAGGCCAGCCCCGGGGCTCCCCTGGTCTTTGCAATGTCCCCAACTTTGCAATTTGCAAGGGAATGTAGGTTGCAAAGAGTTATTTAAGTGGAAGTTGTGGCCTGCAGCAGAAGCAAGGTGGGGAGGGCACCGCAATCTAGGTCTCCGTTTCTTTCCACCCCACTCCCCTCCCCCACCCGGACGGCCGCGCAGGCCCCAGGTGCAGCCATGTTCTTGCTCCCACCACCCGCGCTCCTCCATTGACAGTCCTAGCCGGAGAGGGCCGGGCGCCGCGGCGCTTCGGCTTGGCCTAAAGGGGGGCGGTGGGGAGAGAATCTGGGTTCATCGCGCAAGGCTGTCTGGGAGTTATAGTTCGGGGTACCCATCTGTCGTGTAGGCGAGCGCCGACTTAGAACTACAACTCCCGGTGGGCGGTGCTACTTGTGCGCACGCGCAGCGGCACCTTCGAGGAACAAAAAAAAAAAAAAAAAGGCAAAAAAAAAAGGGGGAAAAAAAGGAGGAGGAGGAGGGTGAGAGAGAAGCTCGGAGAGCAGAGAAAAGGGGGCACCGGCACCCCCCCCGCTTCCCTGCACGCGCTCGCTGCCCGCCTGCCGCGGTCACCCCGGGCTTCGTCCCTCTCTGTTTCTCCCCGCGCGAGGCGATCCGAGCGAGGAGCGAGGCCCCGCCGGGGGCGGCCATGCGGCGGTGACAGGAGCACGGTCGAGACGCACGGGCCCCCCTCGCCCTCTCACCTCCACCCCGTTCGCCAGCTCGCCTCAGCCGAGGCCCCTCCGGCCTACACCCGCTTGCTGTCCGCATCCCCCCCTCCCCGACCCTCCCGGGCTGCACTTCGGGTGAGTCCCTGTCGCCTCAGAATGTCCCCTTCCCTCGTGCCCCCTCCGCCGTCCTCTCCAGCCTCGGGGTGCTATGGCGAACAGGGGCGTTTTTATTCGACACTCTGCCCCCGTCGGGTTCCTGTGCACCGACTCGGGCGTTTGAGTTGGGGTCGCTTGGCGCGTTGTTGAGTGACGATGGGACAACTCCGGGGTGAGGAGACGGACGCGCTGTGACCCCCCACCCCACCCCAAAGTCCACTCTACTTGGGGGCCTTGGCAGCGGACGCGACGCGGCTTTTTTGGGGGATGGGGCGGCTGAGGAGGGGGGAAACGACAGTTGCACGCGCGCACCCGTGGCGCGTGGGGGAGGGCTCGCGGCGATCTTTTTATTTTATTTTTTTCTTGCGCGTGCGTATATTATAGACAGAAGCGTGCGTGGTGGTCGGGGGAGAAGGGGGGGTGGTGTTTGGGAGGGATGGTCTCGCGCGAGCAGACCCCCCGCGCGTGAACGTGCGAGCGAACCCCGCGGGGCCGCGCAGCCCTCTCCTTCGCTCTGATTGGCTGAGTCGGCTTTCCGGGGGCGCGCGCCCGTGCGCGGTGCCAAGGCCCCTCCTGAGCCCCGTGGGGTCGCGCTCGGGTTCGGTGTATGTGTGTGCATGTGTGTGTATGTATGTGTGTGCGTGCATGTGTGTGTGTTTCTGGGGCTCGCTGCTTGTAGGGCAGCAGGCCGCGCGCGATTGGCCGGCGGGCACGGTGGGGGCGGGGCGTCGGTGCCCTGGTAACTGCGGCGGGGGCCCTGGCAGGGGGGCGGGAGCACTCAGGCTCTGTTGCCAGCGCCCGCCCTGGCCGGCCGGCGCTCCGCCCTGCTCCCAGGTGGAGCCCAGCCGTGGGCTTTGTCCGAAGCTGTTGGCTTGCGGGACTCGTGGGGCCAGGACTTTTTTTGGGGGGTGGGAGGGGTGGGGAAGGAGGAGGGGATGGAAATAAACACAATGACCGGAAGGAAGACTTTAGCCTTGAGGCTATGGAAATAATCGGTCTGGTTTGGGCAAGCACCCAGACGTCCGGGTTAAGAAGAGGGATGGAAAAAAAGTTTACTCTTGTACCTCCATTTTTTTTTTTAAATCAAATTTTTGCCTTTTTGCGGGGCGGGGTGTGTGTGTGCGGGAAACTTCAGTATGTAGCCCTGGCTGGTCTGGAACTCCTTGTAGACCAGGTTGGTCTGGAACTCACAGAGATCCGCCTGCTTCGGCCTCGTAGATGCTGGGATTAAAGACCAGTGCAACCACGTCTTGCTCATGTTTTGCTTATTTATTTATATTTTAATTTTTAAGCAAGGTATTTTGTAGCTAACGCTAGCGTCGACTTGCTATGTAGCCGGAGCTTGCCTTGAGCTTATTCACCTTGTAAGTGCTAGGATCTCAGGTCTAGTTCCCAATTCTGCCCCACCTCGCGGCTTTGTGCGCCTCGGCTGCTGAGAGTGCAGGTCTGAGAAGGTGCTGGTGGGGCGCCCGCTGTGTTTGGGAACAGGAGGTGAGGTGTGAGGCCGTGCTTGTTGGCTCAGCCTGCCTGTTTGTCTCTGGGTGTTTCCAGGGCAAAGGGGAAGCTGGTTTGCAAATAAGGGGATGCAGGTACGGTACCCATGAGCACTTGATTTCGGATGTGGAATGGCTGATACTTTCTACCGCAGGTTTTTTTTTCCTTTTTAAGTCTGCTGCCTCCGGCTCCTTTGTTGCCTGAGTCCCTTGATCTTCACGCCCTGAAGGCACGGAAACTTCTCACTCCTCTGTAGTCATTTCTGTAAGGTCTTTTATGTTATGGGGTCACGAGTTTTCTTTTTTACCTTGTAAAAATATGGACCACATTCTCTTTTTTCCCTTGGGTCCTCCTTTGGTAGGGGCATGCTAATACCCGTATTTACCATGGGGGGTGGGGTGGGGAATGAAGTCTAGCATGCTTTTTAGGCAAGCAGGATTCTAGGCTGGCATTCTCCATTCGGTCATACTGCCACCCCTGTTTTACTTTTTCAAATATTGTTTTGCTAAGTTGCCCAGGTTGGCTTTGAATTCCCTCTGTAGCCCAGGTTATCTTTAAAGTTGGTAATTCCCCTGCCTCAGCTGCTGGAATAGCTGGGGTGATGGACCTTGGGGAGGGCTTAGGTTCTGCCTTCATCCCTTTGCTCTTTTTATTTATTTATATAGTTATTTTTACATTCCAGCCGCAGTTTCCCCTTCCACCTCTTCTCCAGCTCCTCCCTCTGTCTGTTCCCACCCCCCAACCCATCCACCACTCCTCCCTTTCTGTTCAGGAAAGGGCAGGTTTCTCATCAATATCAACAAAACAGTATATTAAAGTTGTAGAAGACTAAGTACGTCCCCATGTACGGGGCAAGGCAACCCAGCCTGAGGAGTGGCAAACTCTGGTCAAGTCTTTTGCCACTCTCCATGTCCTGCCAGGTGCCAAGTGTCATAGCAGCTGTACTTGAGTGTGTTTTCAGTGGCAGGTGTGCTCCTTGGCCCCTTCATGAAATTCCCGTTGTAGATGAGGCCAACTATAGAGAAGTCAGGTACTCTCTCTTTGTAAGTGGGGCACATGACTTTTCATCTGGGAGCCAGGGGTTCTCTAGCCCTCTGCTTTTGTAATGATGTCATTCCAGAGGCTGTGGTGCTGCTGGTCTGGGTTGGGGCCTTGACCGTGTCTAATTGTGTCGCCCAGGCAGGCCTGTGAGTTGCAGTCCTCCTGTCTCAGCATTCTTAAATTACAGGCATGTGCCACTAAGACTTGTTTAAACACAGGGTCCAAGTGGAAATAAATGGAACTGTTTATTCTGGATTGCCTGGAAGACTGGTTGAGAGGGTTTTTTTTAAACATTGGGGTTTTTAATTTTTTTGGGCATTGGTTTTTGCCTGTATATATGTCTGTGTGAGGGTGTCAGATCTTGGAGTTACAGTCAGTTGTGAGCTGCATTTGGGTGCTGGGAATTGAACCCAGGTCCTCTAAGGAGTAGTCAGTGCTCTTAACCGCTGAGCCATCTCTCCAGCCCTGGTTGAGAATGTTAAAAAAAGTAAATTGTAATTACAGAACTCACCTCCAGCGTGAAATGTGGCTGTGGGTTCAAGTGCCAAGTTAAATTTGAAGCTCAGCTGCACTGACAGTTATTCCCGTCTCGTTTATTATTTCAGTCATGGAGTAGTTCCCCCCTCCCCTTCACAGAGCTGGAGAACAGACCCAGGCAGTCTCCTCCAGGTGTGCTGGGAGAAGCACCCCACAGTCCCCACAGTCCCCACCTGGTGGAAGGATGGGTTGTAGGCCGGAGCGTGGCGCTTGACTGCTGTCTTTAGGATCTGTTGCTCCCCAGTCTTCTCTGCCCTCTTTGCAGTTTTACTTCTGCCCACGGGACTCTACCAGTGCAGCTCTCCTGATGTCTCCTTTGTTCCTGCAGCCCTTGCCTGTGGCGGCTCACCCCTTTCAATCTCAGCACACCTCTCAGGGCCACAGCCTGGTTTACATATCGGGTTCCAGGGGTGAGACTTGTCTCAACCAAACCAAACCAAAAAAAAAAAAAAAAAAAAAAAGGTTGGGTATGGTTTCCTGAGCAACTGAGCAGGAAGGCTGAGAGTTTTATTATACTGTCTTCCTTCAACTATGTAGGACTCTACATACCTCTGCCTATGCATTGCAGATGGACAAACACACACATATATGCACGCATACATAAATACCCCCAAGCAGACGGAAAACATATGTAGTGCTAGAGATCTATCCCAGGACCTGCATTACCAGTAAGCTGCGTCTGTTATTTGGGTCTTTTAAAGCATTGATTTACTCAAACTTTGTATCTTTGAGAGCCAACGCTTTATGTTTTTGGTAGTACTAAGGATCGAATGAGGGCTTCTGCTCATTCTAGGAGCTCTTCTGCTAACCACACCCCCGCTCCCATCACTGGTGGCTGTAGTAGGTCACTGGGTCTTCACACAGCCATTGTTTTGAGACAGCGTCTCACTGTGTAGCCTTGGCTGACCTGGAACTCAGTAGAGATGCAGTGAGATGAATGCGCCTGGTCTTGGTCATTGACTTTATTTCCCTTGTCTAGGCCTTGGGCATGCTGAGCTACTTCCTGGCCCTGGTCTTAGATTCTATAACACAAAGTTACATTATCTCACTTACGCATCTCGACTAAGGATGGCAACATACGTCATACGATCACAGAAGAAAAGGGGCAGAAAAACCAAGAATATAAAACCCATTAACTTCATGTCCGGCCCCCCCAGGGATTTTGTGTAGCCCTGGCTAACCTGGAACTAGCTCTGTAGACCAAGCTGACCTCGAACTCAGACATCTACCTGCCTCTGCCTCCCAAGTGCTAGGACTAAAGACTTGCGCCACCATGCCCAACTATTTGTTTGAATGTTTTCTTTGGAAAGAATTTGCATGGATCTGGGCAAATCTCTTACTAGCATAGAAGTACCATGTAAGAAGTGTTGGCTTGCTGGGCGGTGGTGGCGCACACCTTTAATCCCAGCACTAGGGAGGCAGAGACAGACGGATCTCTGTGAGTTTGAGGTCAGCCTGGTCTACAGAGCGAGTTCCAGGACTGGCTCCACAGTTACTGAGAAATCCTATTTCAAACCCCCCCCCCCAAAAAAAAAGTGTTGGTGCCTTCATGAGGAAGAAGCTCCAGCCTGCATTTTCTGAGTGGTGGTCTGGGTCCTCACACATGCTGCGCCAGTGCAGAGGCTCCCGCGTTGAGTGTCAACCCTGACTTCTAGCCCCAAATTTGCCAGTGCAGTCTTTCGTTACTTCCACCTTTTCTCTTCTCTCTTGACAGTTTATTCGTAGACTATTTATAACAAATACATAAAATTAGGTTGGATTCAACCACACATTGAACAAATCACATGCACAGAAAAGGGGGGCTGGCTCAGTTGTTAAGGTGCTCGCCAGGCGAGCATACGGATTGGGGTTGCTCATTGGCACCCACATAGGAAAGCCAGCTACAACAGCATCCCGGGGCTGACCCA